CCCCAAAACCCCAAAACCCCATGTTGAGCATAAGTCATAAAAATCATATAATATATCCAGTAATATACACTAATCTTTAAAAGTATTATTGTTAAATTATTATAAACTTGATCGATTCAATATGGTAAAATATTTTTTCATAAATTTACAAGAAACAAATAAACAAGTCTAAATCTTAAAAGTCAGGAGTGCCTTCCAAAGATGCAGCCTAAAAAGCAGATTTGTAATTTTTATTGGTATGATCTATCAATGTAGGCAAGCAATTGATGGTGAAATAAAAAAGGGAGGCCCATTAGATAAGAAATCAGGATAAAATTAATAAGCTATTGGTTCTTTTACCGAAAATGAGTCTTTCAATAGACATTACAATAAAGAGCTAAAAGTATCAGAAGGTATTAAATAGATTCACTTATTAGTAAATTAACATAATATCCTTTTTCATTGAAAATTTATTCATTATGTTTTAGATGAGATACCAATTGTCTTGCTGGAGTTAAACGAGAGTGCTCTTGCTTTCATAACAAGAGAACAGTTTGAAAAAGCACTTTTATTACTTTAGAAAGCTCATGGAGTCTTAGATGTAGTTGACTTATCGAATTGCAAAAGAGATCAAATGATTGCTTTAGAAATTTTCCTAAATATGGCTTTGTGCTATCAAAAGCTAGGACAACTCGAAGAATGTTCACTTTGTCTTGAAACTTGCATAGAGCATCTCAGTGCAGGAGATTATCTCTAGCAATTAAAGAATCAATCGCTTGCAATGAGAATAATGAAAATGAAACTAGAGTGCAAACTAAGAATGTAGTTATGTGCAATCCTATCTTAATTGCATCGCCATCGAGAGGCACTTGAACAAGCTTATGAAAGCGCAAAAATTGGTAACGTCATCGTTCAGGATCAAATTCATCTATGCGAATACATTTCTAAAAGAGTTGACTTTGAATCAATGAGGAATATGAACAAGCACCAAACTGTAAACGCTATAAATTTGACTGAGGATAGCTAAAATGGATTAGATAACGAATCAAGTTTTTCATAAGAAGATGGTTTAAATATTGTTAACTAGTCTGTAGATTCAATCACACAGTATTAATCTCCTTAGGCTTTTCAAAATAACCTAGAAGACTCTATATCTTTGATAGAGAGATCTGCCAAAAAGCTTTTGCCAATATATAAGGAACTTCACAAAAGATTAGTGCAAATTAGAAAATCCGCAACTGTCGAGCAAAAATCAAATAAAAATGATTTTGAAACAGATAGAATGGAATCTGATGACTTGACTGATATTGATCTTTTAAATGATAACTCAAACAATAAGAGAGGTCTTAGAAACAAATCTCTTGGAAGAATAACTGAATTAAAAAAGAGAGATCCTTCAAACGAGAAAAAACTTGGAGACAACCTCCTTGATATGAGACATATGCTTGGATTTTTAAATCAATCTGAATGGGTTACATCATTAAACATAGGAAATATAATGCAAATCAGTCCAATATAGCATGAAGATTTGATTGCTCACAGGAGAAATGAATAAGAAATATCAAGAGATGCTTTCCTTGAGAGTGTAGGTATTTTGCAATAATAATTATTTGTAGGCAAGTTTCATGATTGTGGCATACTTTTGTATCTCTACAGAAATAAGATTTATAATTTAATTAAAGGAGGAAATCAGTTAGATAAACAATTTCGATTCAGCTTTTAAAACAAAAGAGTCAGAATACTGGCATGCAAAATCATTAGAAGTGGCTTGCACTTTCTTACCAAGTGATTGCCCACTACTAAATCATGTTTTGCTAAGTTATTAGAAGCATCATGCACCATCTTCAACTGCTATTGTAAGCTTTTCGTAAATATTTATCATTTTAGCCTGAAAACTAGACAACAGAAGAAATTCTTGAAATTATGAAGCCTCTATTAGGAATCGAAAATAACAAATTCCAACCTATTATTAGAAGAATTTAAAACATAAAAATTGAGTTGTCGCCAGTTGCAATTAAAAGCGCTAAATCTACTGTTAAGAAGTTGCTAAGAAAAATACAGCCACAGACCATACCTTCATTGAATAATCTTACACCATTGGATACAACAAATGCCTAAATAAGCACAGCAGTCAAGACACCATAGAATATTAACCAGCTGCACAAAGAAAAGATAGTGAAGATTATGAAATTCGAAAAAGTAATGAAGAAGTTTTGCAAAAACGTCGGAGTGGACAAATTGACTCTGCTGACGATGTTGGTAGGAAAGAGTAATATTGAAGAGTTTATGAATAAGAATGAACTTTCTTCTCGCAAAGACTCACTCAATTAGTCGAGAGAGAATCTGATTACGAAGGACTCAATTTAAATGAATACAGGATAAGCTGCTCAATTGGCCTACAATAACATGATTTCAGGAATTGATCCTGATTAACCACAAGGTCAAAACTATGTGAGAGTTAGAAATTAAGTTTTCAAATCGAGAAATGGCAATTATTCATTCAGTGAGAATCGAGAAAATGTAACTGCTCCTATATACGCATAGTAGAATAATCTATTAGAGAATTTGACAAGGGGCTCTGTAAGTGATGTCTTAAATAAAAATTACGAGTCAGAGAACAGCATATTCCATGAGTTAAAGAATAATCTAAATGAGAACTCTTTCAACGAGCAGATTCTTGAGAAGAACAGAATAAATATGAATAGCAGAGAAGCTGCAAACTCATCTATAGTCGGAACTATTCTGAGCAAAAGATAAAATTCTAATGAGAAGCTAACACCATTAAGACCGAGATCAAGTAAAGGCAATAGATAGATCTCTAATAATGGGTAGATGTAATTTCTAGGGAGTCATTAGTAGATTATTTAAAATTCAAAGTTTGGCATGAATAAAAGTGAGGAAAGGACCAAGAGTCAGCAATAATCGCGAACTCTTAATAGCGGTTCGAAGTAGAAATCATCGAATAATGAAACTTTCTCAAAAATGCTTCAGCAAAACTTGCTCATGAATTAACAGTAATAGTAGCAGCTTCTATAAGCTCACTAATCCCTTAAAATGCAAAAGAAGAGCTTCAACAATAATAACGGGCAGAATAATGAGAATAATTCTAGTAGTAACCCTTTAATAGTTTAGGAAACAAAAAAGAACAAGATAAACTACGATGATCTTAAGAAGTATCTTATTAAGGAGTATTAATCTTAAAAGCAGCAAAATAAGCTTTCCAATTTATATCTGAAACAAGATGATATTACCATGCTTCAGAGTAAATCTAAGACTAAATAAGGAAACAATGGAGGAAGAAGCGGCAAGAATTTAGGTTAATAACAACAATAGATTTAGCTAAGTGCATAAAACATTGTAAATTAGTAAAAACAATAATAGTAACAGATTTACATGACTTAGCAAAGACCTATTTCGGTAGGAGCAGTTGGAAACATTAAAAAGAGAGATAAAAATAAAGCACTTATGCAGGAATTATTGAATGGTGGAGGTAATAAGAATAAATTATTAGCAGGGGCCCCTCTTGTTGGATTTTTGGGAAATCACAATCTCTCTGTGAATATTACTAATATTGCAGGGAACGTTAATGGTCTCAGATAACAGTAGTTCTTTGATGATGATATGAAATAAATTAATAACAATAATGCAAATAGCGGCTTTATTAGAGCTGTTGGTGGAGCAGGAAGCCTGGTGGGTATTGAGAACTTGTTGCCGAACCATAAACTAGGATAATTCATGAGTTTTGACGGCAGAAGAAAGTCACAGCCTCAATGAAGATAATGATCATAAGAATTACATTGATATATCAATCTTATTTTATATGAAATTAGATACTTATATTCTAATTAAATCAAACTAAATGATTTGTAGGCAAACTCTGATTATTATCATTGCTGTCACCTTCATTTTTCAACTGGCTTTTGCCAATTATCACAAGATTTTCTTCTCTCATTTTTATCATTGATTTAGGGGAATGAAGAGCCACTATCTTCTTCACACTTATCCTTCCATCTCTTTAAGTGTATGGAGTGATGTTTTCCTTATCTTATTGGGGCTTCATTTTCTTGTATGATAAATCAAATTCTATAAATTAAGTTGCTGGTCTCTCTTAGGGAGGAGGGATTCCAAATACCCCTTTAAATAGGTTTTTATTGAACTTCTTAGCTTTAAATTGAGAAGATGGTGCCTTCATCGAAATCGTTCTATTCAAATGGGATACCCTATTTTGTTCGTCCTTAATATTAGCTCTGTCTTTAAGATGAGATTTAGGCGATTTTGCAATTGTGATTGTTTTTCTTTCCACCTGTGAACTCAAATAGTTGTAAATTTTACTTTACATTGTAACTGGCTCATTTTCTCTCTTGTGGGTAATCTGGTTGTTTAGTAACTTGCTAAACTAATCAAAAACATTCTATAGCTATTAATTTATAAAGATTACCTTTTGCCCAAACTTAGATTAACAGTCTTTTTCCCATTATTTATATACAAATTTCTAGGCTCTCTTACGATTACTGATCTCAAATTTACCGTTGCTGCGCTTTTAAAGTATTGACTATTAAATTAAAAAAATTAAGGATTAATAATATCTCTTACTCTTAAATCCTGATTAACTTGCCCTCGCTGTTAAGGTTCTGTTTATAAATTGCTATACTATTTATACGCGATCTCAGTTTAGTTTAAATTGATATTCTGGCGAATCTCAGGCTCAAGAGGCTGAAATGAGTTGAGAGCAGTATTCTCATTCTCACTCTAGCTTTTTCTCAAAAGCAAGAACTCATCGACTTTGTTATAGAGCACAAAGTTATCTAGATCTACTTTTCTCAATGCCGACTCAAATCTTTGGCACTTGTAATTATAAGTAGAGCTATCTCCCATTTAAATACTTGATCTGTTGCTAGTGAGGCAAGATTGCTCTGACTCTGAACAGATATTGAGACTTTCATTCAGTAGTCCATTGGTATTGTTGATAACAATGGTGTCACTTTCAATAGTAAGTCTTTAATCGTTAACATCCTAGTTATTCCCATTTTTCTCATTTATTTTCAACTAATCCCTATTGATTTAGTCAAGTTATTCATCTTAGGATATTTCCCTCATTATCTAATTAAGATTTACTGAGTAATTTGATTTCTTAAGAGCTGGTTGATTGTCATATGCAGGTCTAGCTCCCCACTTTTCACGCAAGCTCACAATTTTTTAATGATTACGCATTTAAATTAGATTTTTCTGTTAAAATTAATAAATTACTTATCAGTTAAATTCTATGATTAAATCAGCCAATAATTTCACTGTTTAATTGTTATCCAGAAATTCAAAGGACGCGGGGTTTTGGGGTTTTGGGGTTTTGGGGTTTTGGGG